GAATCCAACTCCGCAGCAGTTCCCTGGGGTCCAGACTCTTCTGAGAAGGGAAACAGATTTGGCTCCCACTCATCATCATGATGCCAGTCAGCATCTTGCCCACAGCCTCTGCTTGATCCACGGGCTGTAAATAAGAGAAATACATTTAATATGTTTTACTGATAGAATAGCAGACTATATTATTTTATTTTATTGCCATGTGATGTGCTAAAGTTGAAATAGTCATTTCTTGACCTCTCTTTGCACAAGAACCTCTGCTTGGTGCACAACCTGTAAATAATAGGAAAATGTGTATCACTATACTAGGAGATTACATGTACAAAAACATTTACAGTGGAATGAGGAGGATTTATTTTTACCTATCCTCTTTGCTCTGCCAATAGGTGGGGTATCTCTGCTTGTATCAGGATCTGTGAATTGAGAAACCATTCGTTTCAGCAAGAACTATGACACTATAACAATATGTAAGTAAAAAATAACAAAAACACAAATAAAATCATTTTGAAAACATGAAATAGTACATTATAAATGCCATGTACAAAAGCAGCAGTAGTGATTTGAAGATCAAAGACAAGTTCCCGGGCCTCTCCCCTCCCCTCCCCTTTCTTAGCTGAGCAAGCTACATATGCTAGGCTAGGAAACGTAGCAAGTTCTTACCTTCAACTCTTGCTGGAGCTTCTGGGGATGAGGCTCTGCTTGATCCAGGCTCAGACGGCAACCACTCATCCGAAGAGTCTGGATCTGGTTCGCTGAACGAATCAGATTCGTCAGAAGAGACGGCCGTTGGCGTGCTCCGTGAAGCGCCGGGTCGCTCCCTGCTACCAACGGTCCGCGCTGTCGCGGTTCTATGGTGCGCTCGGGACGGACCCTCTCCAGGATCTGCACCATCTCCCCTATCTCCCCTCGCAACTGCACTCACTGATCTCTGTGTCAAACTCTCCAGCAGTGTTAACTGTTTGTATTTGACCATCTTTTGCTTCGCTGTCTTCTGTCGCCATGCTGTCTCTCACTACTCCACTCTACCACCCGTCCTCTTCCTTCTGCTGCCTTTTGACCCCATCAGTGGGGCAATACTGCACTCTACAGGTCTCAACGGATAATTACACGTAATATATGAAGATATACAGGCTGATTTCTATATCAAAAGGTGCGCCAGAGGTCAATATAGTACCCTGAGTGAAAAAGTGAAAAAGACGTCTAAGACGTCTTTGGGAATGAGCGTTACTAAAAAATAGAACGTCTTAAAATGTCTTTGGCAACCAATGAGTTAATAGCCTGGAAAGGTCTGCGTAGCGTCTCAGTATAAACAGGGCCTAAAGTACACCAGTGTCCAAACCTTCTGTGAACAAAGATCACACTCCAGAATATCACTCACAGTGAGGCTTTGCAGTTCGCAATGAATTGAACATTTTAATTGAATCATTATTTAAGTACAGTTTTTGTTCCCCTATATTTCGTATCTTACTGTTGAAACTGTGTAAAATGTTACATTGAACATACTTCTTTAGGAATTAAACCCCTGCCTTGTTTTTGATGAATACTTAGGCTTACTACGCTACTTTATAGTGTTGGTCATTTGTGGTGGTACTTGGAGAGGCATGTATTTTCTGAGGGGGTACTTGGTGTGGAAAGTTTGAGAACCACTGCTCTAGAGAGATACTAGATGAGATCCTTGGATCATCTGAGAAGCTAAAAGAAGGATCCCCAGAGTTCCTCCTGGAGCTGAAGCATCAGATCTGTAAGAGGAGACTGCAGATGGAGCGCAGATGCTCTATGTGGCTGAAGAAAGAGGCCTGGTACCAAGGGAGAGAGCCCTCCGAGACCACTGGCATCACCCCGAGGAAGGAACTCAGAGATCTTCGAGACAGATAGAGTGCCTTGCGAAAGTATTCGGCCCCCTTGAACCTTTCGCCACATTTCAGGCTTCAAACATAAAGATATTAAAAAAAATTGTCATGAATCAACAACAAGTGCGACAGTCTCAGATAGTCTCAGGGTTCTGTTTAAAGCGCAGAGAGAACCATGAAGACAAATGAACACACCAGGCAGGTCCGAGATACTGTTGTGGAGAAGTTTAAAGCCGGATTTGGATACAAAAAGATTTCCCAAGCTTTAAACATCTCAAGGAGCACTGTGCAAGCAATTATATTGAAATGGAAGGAGTATCAGACCACTCCAAATCTACCAAGACCCGGCCGTCCCTCCAAACTTTCATCTCAAACAAGGAGAAGACTGATCAGAGATGTAGCCAAGAGGCTCATGATCACTCTGGATGAACTGCAGATAACTACAGCTGAGGTGGGAGAGTCTGTCCATAGGACAACAATCAGTCGATTGTCTGGCCTTTATGGAAGAGTGGCAAGAAGAAAGCCATTTCTCAAAGATATCCATAAAAAGTCTCGTTTAAAGTTTGCCACAAGCCACCTGGCAGACTGACCAAACATGTGGAAGAAGGTGCTCTGGTCAGATGAAACCAAAATCGAACTTTTTGGCCACAAGTCAAAACGATATGTTTGGCGTAAAACCAACACAGCTCATCACCCTGAACACACCATCCCCACTGTCAAACATGGTGGCGGCAGCATCATGGATTGGGCCTGCTTTTCTTCAGCAGGGACAGGGAAGATGCCTAAAATTGATGGGAAGATGGATGGAGCCAAATACAGGACCATTCTGGAAGAAAACCTGTTGGAGTCTGCAAAAGACCTGAGACTGGGACGGAGATTTATCTTCCAACAGGACAATGATCCAAAACATAAAGCCAAATCTACAATGGAATGGTTCACAAATAGACGTATCCAGGTGCTAGAATGGCCAAGTCAAAGTCCAGACCTGAATCCTATCGAGAATCTGTGGAAAGAGCTGAAGACTACTGTTTACAAACGCTCTCCATCCAACCTCACTGAGCTCGAGCTGTTTTGCAAGGAAGAATGGGCAAGAATTCCAGTTTCTCGATGTGCAAAACTGATAGAGACATATCCCAAGCGACTTGCAGCTGTAATTGCAGCAAAAGGTGGCGCTACAAAGTATTAGCGCAAGGGGGCCGAATAATATTGCACGCCCCACTTTTCACTTGTTGAGGGCGACAGTGGCTCAGTTGGTAGAGCATTGGCCTTTGGGCCTGAAGGTTGTGGGTTCAAGCCCACCACGAGACCTACTTCACGACTCCCACGGATGACTGCTGTCGTTGTGTCCTTGGGCAAGACACTTAACCCCACTTTGCCTGAAGCCCCCGCTGAAAGATCTCGGCTCCTGTGGACTCACCACCTGCAGGAGGATCAGTGAGGGGCTGGTGCTCTGTGTAATGGGTAGCATCTCTAACTGCCACCCCCCCCGACCCAGAAATGGATTAAGGGGAAGAAGATGGATGGATGGCCCCACTTTTCAGTTTTTTATTTGTTAAAGTTCAAATTATCCAATAAATTTTGTTCCACTTCACGATTGTGTCCCACTTGTTGTTGATTCTTGACAAAAAATGTTATTTTTATATCTTTATGTTTGAAGCCTGAAATGTGGCAAAATGTTGAAAGGTTCAAGGGGGTACACTTGTACACTCACTGTACAAACAAAGATTGCCGAGGTCCCTGAGTCTGCAGCTACTGTATATATTAAATATTGCATATGGGTTTCCACTTTTTGTATAGAGACCGACAAGCTGTGTAAGATCCAGGACCGCTGTATCAAAGGCTTCATAAAACTGCTTCTTTGAGTGGACAGAGTTGAGGAGAACAAAGCAGACATGGAGCCCTTCTTTGAACAATGGGGTTAGAATACCTCCACAGAACAGGTTCAGGAGGTTACTTCACAAAGCTTTCATGCCACACACTTACAAATACAGGCCATCACTTGAAGAGAACGATGGTTCGATGATTAAGGTGGAGGACGCTGAAATCCTTAGCCCCGCCTACTTCCAATGGAACCAATTCTTATTGGACAATCCCTCCGAACAGGTGGAGTATTTAGATTGGGTCTGTTAAAGATAGAAGCGAATATCCGGAGTTTCTGGAAAGTCTTGGTTTATGTATTATTCTTTTGAATTGTGAAAAAGGGATTGCGCTGTCTTTTACTATGGTCGAGTGCCATTGGTAATTTGTATACATCGATGTATGTAAGTCCCGCCCTCGGCCTATAGACCCCTATACAAACTGAAAATCGAGGCTCGATCAGCTAGCCAATAGGCTTTTACTTCCTGCAGCGGCGACTGTCAGTCAAGGTCCATGCGCATCACAAAACCGTGCATGGCCACAAGGACGCGCATCTTCGGCCAGCGAACACAACATCATGGCGGAAAGCTCCGTAAACCCGAAATTGCCAATACCACGATTGCCATCTAAAGCTGCTCCTACATCAAAACAAAAGAAAAGTCCGGGGACAAAGTTGGCAGATAGACGCCTTCGTGACCACCGGAGAATATATCTTGGAGCGGCGTTTCAAAGGTGGAGGGACCTGCGGCTTTTGAAGGGATTTAAAACTGACCCTGAGTTGGCGATGTATCTCTTGGACAGGTAATGAAAACTTTTTAATGCCACTTTTAAACGTGTCGCTAGTGAAAAACAATACCACTGTCTTTCTGCAACAGTAGAATGTGCATAGTGTCAATTAGCATGCATCAAAGCTAACGTTAGCGTACCATTCGCTAGCAATATGTCGGCTCAGCTAGCTGGCACACTTCTACTGTGGACCGAGTCCATGTTTCATTTCAAGTCAAATGAAACTTATTGTTCGGTCTTCAATTGTCACTACATGGATTTATTGGTTTTCACGTAGCAGCTAACAATCACGGTACCCCAAAACACGTTATTACTAGCGCTACTTTTTCTGACATGTTACTTGTACTAGCTTTTTGGCTGCAAACTCCTGCAAGTCAGTGCAACGTTGTGTAGTTAAACGCCATTCTAATGATTATAACGTATCTTCTATGTTTAATTTGTAGCTATCAGAAACGATCAGATTCTTCAACGTCGACACCAAGAAGAAATATTAAAAGAAAACGACTTGTGATGCCAGCTCTTTCCAGTATTGCAGAGTCGTTGTCTGAAAGGTACGTGATCTATCCTGTTAGCATCTGAATGATCCCAATATAAAATAAAGGCTAATCCAGTTGTTCCCACACAGCAGCATTTATATTGTGTGTACACTGTAGTTTATATCAACATTTTTCCTTATTTCTTTTTGCCTCACTCACTCTACTTTTTTTTTTTTTTTTAGAGAGGAGGATTTCTACGAAGTACTCCCAATTGGCAGTGACGATGATGGAAAAAGGTACGTTATTCACGATATTATAATTTTTTGTAAATTTGGTGTAAACAATGTTTTTTTCAGGATACAGGCTGATGAAGTGGATGAGAATGATGTAAACAGTTTGCAGAATTCAATGTGAGTATAAAAAATGTATACAAGAAATTTAAGACCACTTGCTGCAAAAGATATGTTACAGAGCTAATGTTTTGCAACAAGTGGTCACGGGAAATTTGCCACTATCAAATTCTGCCTAGCCCTTTTTAAAAGTTGTTACAAGTTTTTCAGTCCAATGAGCATGTGTAATCAATACATCTGATCCAGTGCAGTACACCTTTCTTAGTTAATAATAATAATACAAAAAAATATGATGTCCCTCTGTGTACAGCATTGACTGGACAGAAGATGAAACATGGACCCCATCTAAAGACACAGAAGAAGTTTCTACCTCAGAGGAGGAAACAAGAGAGGAAGACAGTGAGTCTGACGACAGTGACACGGACTACATACCAACAATACGAATCAGGTGAGTGTTATTTATGTAAGGGGGTAAAGAGGAGCCCTGCAGTTTGAGTATAAACGCATGCTTGGAGGCTAGAACAGTATGAGGTGCTGCGTTTAAACATTTCAATCATTGTATAATGAATGAAACGAT